AACCAAAGATGGCACAGCAGGACAGAAACAGGTAGTGTGCATGTTTAAAGGCATTTCAGAGCCTAACAGTTCTTGCTGCAGCACACATGACTTGTGTTAAAAGCTGAACAGTCACAAGAATACCTGTTTCCATCAGGTACCTGCCATCATCCAGAACAGCCAGACTTCTGAGGTCACCTGGCCCAAACATTCCTTTTGCTCAGCACTTTATTCCTGCAAGAGAGATTTGATCACGGCATGTGCGTCAGTCTTCAAACACCCCATCCTAGCAGCAAGGAGCAAGGAGTGGCACTAATACTTCTTCACTGGTGGGAATCTCAACAGAAGGTGTTGCGCTAAAGTTGTGACTTTATATGACTGTTACCTTGTACTTTTTTCTTTTAGTCTCTCTCATCATGAAGATCTGAGGATGACCAAAGCCTGTTGCCATGAGCTTTGCTGAACCCATCAATATTGTGGCTTAGAGGTATTAAACCAGCACATGGCATAGGAGAACTCTGTAACCTAAGTGCCAAGGGAAGAAGAAGGGGAACTGTTTAAATTCATTACCTCCTGTAAACTGATAGTCATTGACTTCTTTGTCACACCCTACTCCTGTAAAGCAGGATAACAAGGATTTAACGATGTTTACAAATGTGGCAGAGATTGCTGTCTACAACCAAGCACACACAGCTGAGCACACTCTCCTGTCTCTATCCCAATTCTAGAAATACCCAGAAGAACTCAGTGTTCTCCTGCTTTCATTTACTTACATGAACTGTTTTAAAATGCATGTTGTTATAGGCCGGCACAAGCTTTAGTGCCTATAGCCACAGCTTGAGAGGCCAACACCAGCCCTGGCCTAAAAACACAGCCAGAGAGACTGGCACTGGCCGCAGGACCTGAAGCCACAGCCGGGGATGCTGACAGTGGCCACGGGGCTCACAGCCACAGCCACAGCCTGAGAGGTTGGCACAGGGCCCAAAGACTGAAGCCACAACCACAGAGAGGCCAGCACCAGCCCTGGGGCTTAAAGCTACATCCACAGCCAGACAGGCTGGCACCAGCCATAGGGCCACAGACTGAGAGCCCAGCACCGACACCAGTCCCTAAAGCCACAGCCAGGGATGCTGACAGCAACCATGGGGCTTAAAGCCACAGCTACAGCCCAGGAGGCTGACATCAGCCCTGGGGCCTAAAGCCACAGTCAGAGGCCAGCACCGGCCCTGGGGCATACTGATGTGCATTCCTGTTGCTTCCTACTAGTTCCCCTGGGGCTCCATTGACCACAATGAGGCCATATTGGTCTTTCCTGTTTTTTATTGGGCTGCACAAGAGTCATCCTCACTTCTGCATTATTTTACTTCAAATAACCCCACTGGGTGACCCTGGTGTTGGTTTCCTAAAATTTGGATCTGAGAGGCGTCCGTTTCCTTCACTTATGATGAAGGCACAGAAGTGATGCGGGCACTCGCTGAGATCACAGTCGTTGCTGGGGTGGGAGCGTTTGTGCCACAGCTGGTGAGCAGAGCTGGTGCTCTGGTGAGCGTGCTGCACGCAGAGACTGAGCTGTTATTGAGCCTTCCCTTTGACAGAAAACACCCTGTGAGAGCCCGTCAGAGTCAAAAGCACCGCTGCAGCGTGTGAGCTGACACAGCTCAGGCTGAGCAGTGACCAGGTGAGCTGGGTTTGGTGCTGGCTGGTTGCCAGGAGGTGTCTCAGCTGAAAAGCTGGGCTGGGCTGGATTTCCCAGCTCAAATGGTTGTATCCAGAGGAAACATGTTCTTGTTGAGATTCCATCCCACGATTTGATGTGGGCTTTTGAGGAGATGGAGAAGAGCACTTGCTGACACAAGCCATGGCAGTCAGACACGAGCTGGAGCCAGCATTGGGCAGCTCTTGCAGCCAGCTGATTTCCAGACATTGCCCTCCTCAAGGGACTAAATTGCATGGCAGAAGAAAGCTGAAAAAATGCTTCTTCCTCATGATTTTTCACTTGTTGATAATTTCTGCAGGGTTCCTGTCCAAAAGGAGATTTCAGAGATCGAGGCAGTCTCAGGAAGAGTGAAGCCAGCTCTTTCCAAGAGCAGAGAAGTTCCTGTGGAGAGAGCCCTAAGAACTTCAGCTTCCTCTGACACAGCGGTCATGTCTCAGCAAGGAAATGACCGCAGTTCCAATTCCTGCTCTGTGAGAGGAAAGGTATGGCTGGATTTCTTTTGCTTGGCTCTTCTTCTTTTTTCTCATTTTTAAAGGAAGGGACAGAGCAGGGGGAACCCTACTTGTCCTTTGTGATCTCAGTAACTAGTTGAATTCTGTGCTCACTGCTGACAGCCTGGGCTAATGGCGTGGACATGACTCAGGCTGTATTTTCCCTTAGTGATAAATAATGTCCCAGCACTCTGATATTTCATCTCTGGCACAACCTGGAAGCTCTCTGCAAACCTTGGCTGCCCCTTCCTTCCAATGTTTTTTCATCTCTCTCTTCAGAAGCAGCATGGTGCAGTTCCCCATGTTTGGGAGCAGCAGCCAGCAGGCTGCCAGAGATCCAACAGCACCTTGCAGCACACAGAGGGATGCAATGGGGACAGACCGTCCTTACTGCCATACAAAAGTGAGTTTCTTCAGACCTCTGTCATGAAGGATGGAGAAATGAATTTTGAGTATTACTTCCGGGCGGGTGCAGTTCTGCAGGGGATGTCAAGCAACCATTGTGGAAGCATTAGAGATGCCAACAGTGGCAGTGGATGGCAGTAGCGAGACAGATGTCTGTGTATCAATAATGGTGCTTTAAGTTGAGTGAATTCCTTTTAGGGCCAAAGAATACCTTCCTCAACTTCTGCATCATTTGTTTGCTAGTGCACCTTTGCTCTGCAAAACGCAGAGCTGTCCAGGCAGACCAGGGTTCCTTTGCTGCCATCTGAGCAGGAATGAGAGCAGTAGTGCTTTGTGTAAGCGTGTTGCAGTTTAAACATCAGTTTCTGTTTCAGCTGTAGAACAGTGTCTTTTGGTTTTTGGGGGTGGACATGGGCTAACAGGGCAGTGCTGCTCCTGGTGTCTATGAAATCAACACACAATCTGTTGTTGTAGGGACAGAGCCTGCACATCCGTGGAATGGTGCTGGGCATGGGGGGAAACAGAAAGCCTCCCCAGGTAAGAAGCTCGTGAGCTGTGGTGTGGGTACCTGCCTCTAAATAGGGCTGCATGAAGGGCAGTGTGTGTGATGGAGGAGAGAAGAAAGGGCCCTGCAGCTCTGTGCTGACTGCAGAAGTGGCACACCACTGTAGCAGTGGAAAGGCCAATTGAAGAAACTATGCTTGAGGACCAGAAGTTTGTGGCTGATCGTGCTGAAGTCTTCCTCCAAGGAGATGCTCTTCATGATTTTGTTTTCTTTCCATCAGAAGCTGATGCCAGTGGCCTTCCTCTGAAGCGCAGCCATGCAGAAAGGCAGCAGAGGAGCACCAAGTGTGACATGGCACCCAAGAGAGGTACAGGCACACAACAGGCATCAGGGTTTAGTGCACTGCCTTTCTAGTTAGGCTTTCTGTCTGTCCCTTACTGGGTCTGTTGTTGTTGTGGTCATAATCACAGTGGCATTCCTGCACTGATTAGAAATGTGAATCCACAGTTCACCCGAGATCCGAAGATCCATGACCATGAATACTCCAGATGAGATGTCCTGTGGCCCATTTTGCAGACTGAAAGTAGCATTGGGCTCTTGTTAAATCTTGTTGCTTCTCCTTTCTTAACAGAGATTGGTGCTGAGCCAAATGGCAATATCTATGTGAAAGTGGTGCAGCAGGTCCGTTCTGAGAGAGCTTGTCACCAAACAGCAGCTGAAGCTCCTCTACGGGCTGGAGGGCTTCCTAGAAGAGCAGGTCCCAGCACAGGGGAAGACCTTCCCCTGCCATGTGCCCCCACTCCATCTCCAAGGCCCAGGCTGGATGTAAACGCAAGGGTTTGGAAGAAGGGAGACCAACAGCAGCGCAGCTGCCTGCCAGAAAGAGAGCAAGGGGTCAGAGCACAGACAGCGTGCCGGCTCCAGCAGCACAGCCTGGGCCTGCCGCAGCACGGAGCTCCAAGCAAAGAGGTGAGCAGGTGCTGTGGTACCACCATGCTGTGCTGCTTCCCTTTTCAAGCTGAGTTTGCTTAGGGTTTGCTTTGCTTTTTCCTTCTCTGTAGAGGGGAAATGGGTTGAAGGCTACGAAGTGCAAAGGCAGTGAGGTGCCAGAATGTGCAAGTCTATCTCTTTCCATTAGCGCCATGGTGGTCTTCTGCACATCCCACTGGAAATGTCATTCACTGGGAAGCTTCCTAGTCCAATTTCCTTTGTCTTTTTTCTCCCATCTGCTTTTATGGCAGATAAAATGTTTCTGCCATGTTTCTGCAGTTTTGCTGTTGACAAAACAAATTCATCTTTTTTCTTGCCTTATAGCAAGAAGACAGCGACGAAAAGAGAGGACCATGGAACTGAAGAATGCTTCCATGAGAGCTGCTGCTGCATGTGCAGAGGTGAGTCCTTGGTGAGCACAGACATGGCTCTTCTTGTTCTCAGGGCATCTGTCTGTCAGACATAAATGTGATTTCCCGAGGAAAGCAGTGTCCTATTTCTACATCACTTTGTTTCTTTCCAGTCCTCCACGATGAACAGACTCGACGAGATGATGCAGAAGCTGCAGCTGAAGGACTGAGAGGAAGAGCGTCAGAAGGCAGCGGCTGCAGTGCATGGTGTTACAGGGCAATGCTGTGAGTGCTGCCCAACTCGGCACTCCAACTTTGGATGTAGTCAATAAAAAACATTCACAATTAGAGACTGACAAGGAGCACACAGCCTGATTTGTCCAGTGGCACTCAGTAAGCTGCTGCACCACCTCCTCGTTATTAGTCTCGCAGCACTCACTCAGAACTCCCACAGCTCCATCAGCAAATGCTGCTGTCTATTGATGCAGCAGAGGCAGCAGTCCCTTGCACTGCCTACAAACAGACTGTCTGCAGAGCACGTGCAAAGAGCTGCACGTAACAAAGCCTGGCCATGAGCATGCTGAGTGAGAGAACAATGCCGTAGAGATTGTTGAGTTTCCCAGGGCAGCACTGAGTGGTTTTTGCTTTTATGATGAGTGTATAATGAGCGAAGTTCACCAAAAGGTGAGTGTTTTCTCAAAAAAAAATGACAGACTGTTGGTCCAGAGCAGCATCTCTGCAGCTTAGGACCACCAAGCTGCCATCCCAGCACTGTTCTGCTTACAGACAGCACTCCAGGTTCTCCTGATGTGGCACTCAGAAGGCATCCCTCTGTCGTGCAGATCCCCAGTGCCTGCCAGCCTGTCCCTGTTTCGGCTGGGAGGGCACTGTTTCCTCTGGAGCACCTGGTATGATGCTGTGTCCTGGTTCTATCAGTGCCCTCCTGCAGGCTGCTGTACAGAGCACAGTGCTGCAGAGCTGTGCTTCCTGGCCCTGCGCTCTCCAGCACTCTTGTGCGAGTTCTGCCTCTCCCAGGAATCTCCTGTTCCCAGGAACCTCCACTGCTCCCTTGCACACACATCTGTGTGCACATACGTGTGCAGAACCACACTCCCACATGCAAGGACTTCCCTGCACACATACTTGTGCATTCACACACATGCAAGCATACCCTTGCACAGCCCTGTGTGCACACTCCATCCACATGCATGCAAGTGTGTGCTAAGTCACACAGCCTTGTGCAAAGACCTTGATGCACACACCATGTTCATGCACACACGTGTGCAAACTCACCCCTTTACACACCAGCGTGCATGAAGACACGCATGAAGGTGCAGCTGCAGCCGTGCACACAGCCATGTGCACACACACAAAACTCATGTGAAAATACCCTCCACACACCCATGTGCAGTGCACACTCTGATGTTCAACACCACCTCTAAGATGATCACAGGGCTGGAGCACCTCCCCTGTGAAACGTTGAGGCAACTAGGCTTGTTCAGCTTGGAGAAGAGGGCAGCCGCAGGGCACAACCCCCTATACCCAGAATGCAAGTGAAGTGTAAAGAAAAGAAATTAACAACTACAGCCACTATTATCTCAGGACACACTGACCTCAGACACAGAGAGGTTTTAAGTGAAATCCCTATTTTCATGAATGAAATATCTCAAGCTTCCTGTGCCCTCCCTGAAGTATTACCTCTAATGGCACTTTTCTGTTTTTTCTTTTGCTTTGCATGATTGAGTTTTTACTCAGCCAGGGCTTATAAACGATGTTACTGCTGTCCCAGTGCATCAGCTGCACTGCCTTGAACTTAATTTACTATCCAATACCTAGTGATATAAACAAAGCCAAAAACACAGAAGAGTTGCAGGAACAAACCAGCTACAGTGCTTGATAGAAAGAGAAGAAGGAGGGACTGAGATTACATTCTTTAGTGAAACCCTAGAACTTAAACAAAGGTATCAACTGCAGACAAAAGCAAGAGCTGACAGAGCTTTAAATTAACCAAGACAGAAAAAGGACTCAATCTAGTAAATAACCATAAAAACACTCACCCCCTTCTGAGGAACAGGGCACACAAAACACCACACAGGAACAGACCAACAAGCACAGCCCATTCCCTGGCTGCAGGCAGCCCTTAAATGAGGTTAGGGGAGGCGGGGTGGTGGAACCAGGCTCCACCTTTTGATCGTGCAAATAAATTGTTTCCACCTGTTTGCTAGAGCAGAACAAGGTTTACTGACAATCAAAGCCTGTGTAGTAAAAAAAGAGTGTTTTTTTTTTTTTTTTTCTCAGTTGTGTTTTCTGACTCCGGTTTGAAGCTGGTTGACCTTAAGTGTCTTGCAAATGACAGCTGGAAGCAGATACAGACAGCAGGCGCAGCACCCTGCAATCTCCAGCTTAGTGACAGCAGCCATGGAGGCCTTTGGGCTCTGCAGGGTCCAAGTGTGGAGTATTACACACAGGAACAGCTGAGCATCAAGATGAAGGCAGAGCTAGAGAGCTCCTAGTGTGATACTTGTGTTGTGCTGCTGTTGTAGTTTCATGTCCTAAATGCAGTGCATGCATTCATTCCCTGTGTTTGGATTTTTTTTTTTTTCTGCCAGCTCTTTTGCACTCCACAAACAGCAAGTATGAGCCACTACGTTGGCTCAGTTGCTCATGTTGCAGTTTCTTGAGATATTCAGTGAACTGAGCTCCTCCTCCTCACCTTCTGCTATCATTTACCTCCAAAGCCTCCGTGTTTGTCTATAAGCTGCTGTCCTGTGCCAGCATGGCAGAAATTAACTCAGCAAAAGCTGGGAAGTGTTGTGCTTTAAATGAACCATGTAAGTTCTTGGTGAAGTTCAGAGCAAATAGGTGTGCTCTTCTAGTGCTACAAATGAATAGATTGGCTTGGCTGCCTCTTAAGTTGAGCGCACACTTTCCATTGTGTAAAAATCTCTACTTTGTTTTGCAGCTTTCTATAAAACACTTGGCTTTGTTAATTCTAGGACAGCCTTCATCAGCCTGTGATTCTATCGGACAACCATCTTTGCAGAGATCTTGCTTGTGAGGACATCCGGATGTGGCTGTCTGATAATAAACATTCTGTTACCATGCAAACATTCTTATCTTTTTTATATAGGAAAACATGGATAATTCCCTACCTAACTGGGAGAAGTTACTTTTGCTATTTGAGGCTTGGAAGCCCATTCAATGTTAGGCTTGTGATAGTGTTTTCTAAACCATGTGTACTGTAAGATGCAAGAAATGTAAAGGAAATTTAACAGCCATTGTTTTTCTTTCAGCATTTGAAAGAGGCTGAGCTTGAGGTCCATACTCTTGGAAGAGAGTCCTTAGGGGTTATGGAAAGATTGTGTAGGATCTGCACAGGAGAGTGTAATTTCTCTTGGGTTGGTCTAGAATGTGGTGTGATCCCTGGGAACCAAGCAGCACAAGGAATGTTACTGCTGTCCCAGTGCATCAGCTGCACTGCCTTGAACTTAATTTGCTATCCAATACCTAGTGATATAAACAAAGCCAAAACTGGAGCCCTATGGTACAGGAAAAAAAAAAAAAAACTCTAACCTATAACATACCTATGACTCTTCAGAGTCAGGGGGAAGTTGTTCACAGAGGGAGCTGAGGCCCTGACACTGCTGCCCAGAGAGGCCGTGGGTGCTCCATCTCTGCAGGTGCGCTCGACTCAGCTCCCATTGCAATGAATGGAGACAAAGGGAGGGACGTGGCTGATGACACTCAAACGTGGTGGCACCGCAGGGCTGTGGTGCTTTCACTTTGGAAAGCCACCAAACATCCACCTGCTCACTGTCTCCCTTCACACATCTGGCTGTCACAGAAGCACAGGGGCTGGAAGAGACCTCTGGAGATGACCTCAGTACAACCTCCCCCCAGAGCAGCTTTCCTGCAGCAGTTGCACAAGAGAGCCTGCCTTGAGCTGGGGAGCTCAGAACTGACCCAGTGCTTTCTGCGGCCCTTGATAGCCTCCCAGGGCCACCAGTACTGCCCAGTGCCCCCACATCAACACACCCGATGCTCAGCACGTGACCATCTCATTCTCCAGGCACAAAACGAGGCGACAGAGGCATTGGCAGCAGCAGTGGTGATGGAAGACCATCAGTGAGGAGGAGCTGGAGGAGCTGCAGTTCTTGGCTCTCTGCAACCATCCCAACATCCCCCAGCTGCTGGACGCACTGTATGGGACGGGCACCTCCGGGTGTGCACTTGTCTGGAGGGGCTGTGTAGCCTACCTAGCTCAAACAGGGGGAAGCAGCATGGCGGTGGCAGCACTGCGGGGAAACCTGCTGCGCTGCAGTGTGTGCCCAGTGCCTCCAGTCCTGCTGTTGGGCACCGCCGGGTGCAACCTGGCTCCGACCTCTCTGGTTTGCTCATTATGGTATAAAGATTTGTTCGGATTTAATCAAGCACAGAATTTGGATAGAAGTGTGACTGTGGTCATCTGAAGGCTTCGTTGGCTGTCAGAGGGCTCCACTGATCATCAGATATCTTCACTGACCGGCAGAGGGCTTCACTAATCAACAGAGGGTGTCATCGATCATCAGAAAGGAGATTTGAGGTGCCTAAGGGAGGGGATTTGGGGACTTCATGTTGGGTAACGATGGAGGGGAACTGGGACTGAGGGAAGAGGGCTGAAGCAGATCCAAGTGAGGGGCAATTGGCTGTGATAAGGGAGGGAGTAAAAGGAGAGTGACCTGGAGACGTCATGGCCATGGAGGTGGCCACGGGTGCAGGACGTGAGGTGCGGGGCACGGAGCTGGGGACCACTTCCAGCACTTAAGGGTTGGCCTCTGCCAGGCAGGGATAGATATGAGCAGTTCCTGCTGAGCATGGGGACGAGGACACAGACACACAGAGTGTGGCTTTGTTGAGGTCTTTATTGATCATTGGAGGATGTCAGTGATCATCAGGGTCTTCATTCTTCTTCAGAGGACTCCACTGGTCAGCAGAGGATGTCAAAAGGTGTCACAGACCATGGAGAAGCCTTGTCCCTGCAGGGTTTGTGCCCCAGGAGTTTGGGCAGGAGAGGGGCTGGCAGCAGCCCAGGACAGGATGTGGGTCCCCTGGGGGCAGCAGCCACAGCCCCTGTCCCATCTGCACAGTGACCCTGGGCCATCCCTAGGACACCTCGAGACCCTCCTCCTCTGCACAGCTGTCCAAAGCATGAGGGAAGGTCTGGGGGTGGCAGTGGTCCCCCTGGAATGAGGCAGGGATGGTGCCCTCCATCCCATCCATCCCCAGGCCCTGACGCCCAGTGCTCAGGGCTCCAGAGAGCCCCAGGGTCCCTCAGTGTCCCTGTTCCAGTTCCACCCTTATTGTAACAGACTTCTTCCTTATGTCCAATCTAAAGACTCTGTCCCTTGCTTTTTGCAGCCCCCCTTGAGATACTGAAGGCCACCCTTAGGAGGTCTCCCTAGAGCCTTCTCTTTTGCTGGCTGCCAAATTCGATGCATATCAGGAAATGCTTCATAAAGACAAAGCAGTTGAATGTCTTTAACCTCAACAAAATAATTCAGTCAGATGGACTCTGCTATAGAAAGCAGATGTCAAATGTGGCTTTTCTCCATTGAAAACTGATGTCTGGCAACTTGGAAACTAATGTATACATGTATAGAGATTTTTTTCCATTCCAATTTTAACAGTAAACTGAGACTATAATTTGAATTCATGATGAAATGCTAAAAATGTGTACTCTTATTTTCTGCCAGTACTTGGCTGATGGAGTTTTTGGCCGTTCTGTGGCATTGTAATGCAATCAGCATGGAAGCATTGTTTGTCATTGTGGATTTTGAGTAAGATTTTTCACCCTCTGCTCATGATGGGTAAGAGTTCACTACCCTTCATGCTTGTTTCTCTTTTCTAATTGTTCTTACGATGCCTTATAGGGTGAGACAGATTTTCTTAAAATAACATCTAAGGTTTAAATTCTCATACACAGTTCAGTGCAGCTGGGGATCTTAAGTATGAAAATGAACAGACTGAAGAAACAGCACATATGAATAGATAGAGGGCATTAACCAAATTTATAACTCACCTTACTTTTGTGACAGAATGGAGTACCAGCATTTCTTAGCTGTGTGAAGTTTGGTAGTGAACTCACGCACTGTAGTTTTAGGGAGCAGTAACTGCTTGCAGTGCTGCAATTGCTGCTAGGATTTAAGCACATTGCCTGATCTTGATCTCCTCTTTGTCACTTTCCCACCTTTTTAGCAAGTCTGGAGGAAGCTGAGAGTACCAGCCTTTTATGTTTTCTGCTATAAATGTCACTCATCTTCAAGATTTTCCTGTCGGCCAGGTTGAATAGCATTCCACCAGGTTCACTCGCTTGCTATATGTTCCAGATTTGCATCCTGAATGTGGAAATAATTTATGAATTTCTCAAATACTTTATCTTACACTAGATTAATTGTAGATTAGGTCTCCTTCTGTTCTCTTTGTGTTCTCTGGCTCAGCTTCAAAGATCTGAATGGCTATGCGATAAAGTGACAAGAGGCAATAAAACTATGGGGCAAAACCCTACAGATTGGAATGCAGCCTTTGAAACTTTCTCGTCATCTACTCCTACTGGTTACAAATTTTGCACACGGAAGCATATAGAATTTGGGGGCCTTATCCAGAGTACCATGTTTACTGCCAGCTGCACTGCACTGATATCATTTGTTTGTTCTTTAAACCTTACCAGGACCTGCCCAGAAATTCTCTTGCAGACACGGAGTCATAGGCCCCAAAGTAAAACTATACCTCCAAGCTTCTGGGAGGCTGAAGTCAAGTAATTATCCTGTAAATCCAGATCAAGTCACACCTGGATAACCCATGGTGTGAAATAGATTCCCAATAGATTGCAGTTTGCAGCCATAGGGAAGTATTGATGCTTACTAAACTGAAAGGCCGAGTATAAATTAAATCAAAACAAAAATCCTAGCAGCTTTAGGAGGAAGACACGTCCTTTAGATTCCTTTTGCTCATCTCTGACAGTGGGCTTTCCTCTCAGATGACCCAATGGCAGTTTCTTCTGAAGATACTGTTTAGTTCTCTATGTTAATGCATGCTTAATTCTTTCTTAACCTGA